AAATCTTTTAAAAAATAAAATAAAATAAGTGATAATATTTTACTTCTTAAGGAACCATTTGTATTTTTTAAAATGTTTACTCTTATACATAGGATATTTCATTTAAAAACATATATTAAAAGGACTTTGGTATGTGGTATACAGACTGCTATGAAGAAAAAATGCAGGCTGACTTCAAAATAGAACACCTTCCTATCCACACGATATTTCAGTAACAAAACCTCTCAAAGCCCAAGGTCAGTAAGAATTTTAAAAGAGATGACTGAACATATTAAATATGATTAGAAGTAACCATAATGTAACCTGCAATTTTTAATCAAGATTTTAAAACCCATATTCCATCTGGTTTTTTTTTTTTTTGAGACACAATTCACAGACCATAAAATTCACCCTTTTAACTTAGAAGTGTACAACTGAGTACATTCACAAAGTTGTGCAACAATCACCATTGCCTAATTCCAGAACATTTTCATCACCCCAAAAAGAAACCCCATATCCTTTAGCAGTCCCTCCCTCTTGCTCCCCCACCGGGACCCTGGCAACCACTATGTCACCTTCTGTCTCCATGGACTTGCCAATTCTGAACATTTCATATAAAACAGAATCCTATTACGTGGCCTTTTGTGTCTGGTTCCTTTCATTTAGCATGCTTTCAAGGTTCACCCATGTAGGATGTTATCACTACTTCATTACTTTTTATAGCTGAATAATATTTAATTGTATAGATATAATACACATTTTGTTTATCCATTCATCAGTTGATGCATAACTGTTGTTTCAACTTTTTGGCTACTATGAAAAAGGCTGCCATGAATACTCATGTACCCATTTCGGCACCAACATGTGCTTTCAACCCTCCTGGTTACATACCTAGAGGTATCACAAGGCAACATTATGTGCAACTTTTTAAAAAATATTAAGTAATCTCTACACCTAATATGGGGCTCAAACACAGCCCCGAGATTAAGAGTCGCATGCTCCTCCAACTGAGCCAGCGAGGCGCCCCGTTCTGTGTTACTTAAGACTCCATATCTGCTTTTACACATATAATTGGGGCTGCTGATTTTGAAGAAATAAGTTTGTAAGGAATTAAAATTATTTCTTGTATTTCTATAAGAATTTTTAGGTTTTCCAAGTTAGTGAAAAATAGATTTAATAAGGATAATTCTGTAGAGAAAACCATACAAATCAAACACTGTTATTCTTAGTATACTAAGTATAAAAAATTTAGGGGCAGGGCACCTGGGTGGCTCAGTCAGTTAAGAGTGTGCTTTCGCTTGGGTCATTATCCCAGGGTCCTGGGATTGAGCCCCACATCAAGCTCATTGCTCAGCAGGGGGCCTGCTTCTCCCTCTCCATCTCCCCCTGCTTGTGCTCACTCTCTCTGTCAAATAATTAAATAAAATTAAGAAAAAATTTAGAGGCAACGAGTAAGGCTAAAATAAAAGAGGATTTCAGATTTCATAACAAGATTTAACATACTACTTTCTTAGTCCTAAATCTCAAACACAGCAGGAGAAAAAAAAACATACCCTTGAAAGCCAGTCTTTTTTTTTTTTTTTTTTAAAGATTTTATTTATTTATTTGACAGAGAGACACAGCAAGAGAGGGAACACAAGCAGGAGGAGTGGGAGAAGGAGAAGCAGGCTTCCCACCAAGCAGGGAGCCCCAATGCGGGACTCGATCCCAGGACCCTGAGATCATGACCTGAGCCGAAGGCAGACGCTTAACGACTGAGCCACCCAGGCGCCCCTTGAAAGCCAGTCTTAACCCACTTTCTGAACTACAGGTAACATCATGTTGTCTCTAAAGTGCTGTGACTAGATTTTAAATAAAACAAGCAAATAAATATAGTTTTCACAGTAAATTTCAAACTACATTAAAGATGCAAACAAGGTAAGTCAAATACTACTTTGCCAAGTTGGCCCCAAATTTTGTCAAGAAAGCCTATTCCTAATTACTCAGAGAAAATGACTTCCTACTCTGCTATCTCTGTCTCCTGCACAAAATGCAGTAAATACACACATTGACCCCACTGAAGACAAGAGATGTATTAGCTAAACATCTACCTCAACACTGGCGACATTCATAACCACCTGTGCTGCGGAAAACAGAAGTAAAAAGAGCAGCATGTGAAAATGTCCAACCACTGAGCACAGATTATTACCTAAAGTTTTCTCTTTGTTCCTGTTGCATTCTGAATCCTGCTGACCGTCAGGCGGATCTATTCGAGCTTCTCGCCCAGGAATTTCCTCTCTTGACTCTTGTGTGCAGTATGCTGGGCTCATCAAACTCCTGTTCTTTCTAATAAAATCACTGCCTTCATCTTCTTCCAATGAATGCTTGTTACTTGTACCACCACAATTTGAGTCTTGATGTTGAAGAATATCATTTGATTGAGAGTTGTGTAACATATCTGTCTTCACCCCTAACCCACACATTCCAGCTTCTTCCATTGTGCCAATCACAAACTAGAGGGAAAGAGGAAAAGAAAAAATATGGAAAGAGGGGTTAAGTCAAATGTAATCAATGTTTACATTCAATGATACACCATAGGTTGATAACTTTTTTCTTTCTTAGTGATGTGTAAAACTGATTTAAATATGGTAATTTCTAAGTTTCACAGAGGGGGACATAACTGTAAAGTATAAGAAAATTAAAGTTAAAAAAAATCACATAACTAAGTGGTACCAAAGGAAGTGAGAAACGCCATTTAGGTGTAAATCTAAACTTATTTCCCTAGGGGCGCCTGGGTAGCTCAGTCCGTTAAGTGTCTGCCTTTAGCTAGGGTCGTGATCCCGGGGTCCTGGGATCAAGCCCCATGTCTGGCTCCTTGCTCAGCAGAGAGTCTGCTTCTCCCTTTCCCTCTGCCCCTCCCCACCACTCGTGTTCTCTCTCTCCCTGTGTTTCAAATAAATAAAATCTTTTTAAAAAATTTTTAAAAAGGGGCACCTGGGTGGCTCAGGTCATGATCCCAGAGTCCTGGGATTGAGCCCAAGTAGGGATCCCTGCTCAGGGTGGAGCCTGCTTCTCCCTCTCCCTCTGCCTCTCCCCCAGCTTGTGCTCTCTCTTGCACTCAACTCATTCTCTCAAATAAATAAAATAAAATCTTTAAAAAAAAGAGAAAGTACTCAAACTTCCTTTAAAAAAAAAAATAAACTTTTTTCCGTATAAAAATTCACCATTAAAATAATCAGCATCGTGCTCGCTCTGGCAGCACGTATACTAAAATTGAAAATAATCTGCATCTTAGAAATGAAATTATCCCATTAGTGAACATTATTCTGTTCCTGTCCTTGAAGAGATGGTACAGCAGAGATGGCTCACTAGCTATCCAGCAAAAACCCTTGCTCCTCCAATATCCTCTGGAGCTGGCACTGCTGGACAAATGCTCAGCCTGGGACTCCATTTCCCAGCCCCCTGTATCTAAGTGGAACTCCCATGTAAAGTTCCCACCAATGAAATATAAGAAAAAATAATGACTGTCCCTTTTTCAACAGGACTTTCATTGTTAGAAGCATACATTCTTTCCCCACCATTTCTTCCCCATTCTGGCTGAATGCAGACATCTCCTAGACCCTGAGAGACGGCACAGCCACAGGATGAAATAAGTAACAGTCTAGGCCCCTAAATCCCGTGTACATACAAAAGAAGGCTGCCCTTCTTACAAAGAACACCCACACTGGACTATTAGATGAGCACAAAAATAAATTTCTCTCACGTTAAGCCACGGAAACTGAGAATAACATTTTAAGCAACTATCCCTGCCCTAACAAATGTAGATAGTAGCCGTGGGAGTGAAGGCATTATTCTAGTATTTTATTCTCAAATCAGTAAAATTTACCTTGCTCTCTCTTCTATTATATTGTTAACCCCATTTATTTATGGGTTCCCCCCCTTAACATTATGATGTGGCACAAATTTGAATTCTATACATTCTATACATTCCCTCTCTGTATGAAAGAAGGCCTCTTCCCTTTCTGAATAATACAATTGGGGGGGGGAGGTGTCTAGTATCTTTCTCTTACCACAAGTGGACAAAAACTACTTTCCAAAGTTAATAGGAGAGCAGAGATTCATTATTCCAAGTTGTGAGAGTACGTCCAACTGAAGAACTAAAAATGATTTAAAGTATCGATGTAGCAGGGGAGGCGGAGATTATGACAAGTCCTTATCTTTTACAGCCTAGTGTTGATAATCAGGTACTATGCTTATGGAAGGACAAACTGGTATAACCACTTTGAAAAACGCTTTGACCAATACGGATACCTTCCAACCCAGTTAATTCTACTCCTAGGATTTTCCCCAAGTGTGTACATATGTGCAGCCAAAGGCCAAGAATGTTTAAAGCAGGGCTATTTGTAATTGCCCCAAAATGGAATCAACCCAAATTTGTATCAACAGAAGAAGGGATACATTGTACTATGCTCATACCATCCAGCAACAAGAACTAACTACTGCTAGATGCAGCGACACAGATGAGTCTCATAGACCAAACACTGTGAGGAAGGTGCCAAGGAATCCATACTGTAGGAAACCACATATATATAAAGTTCAAAAACAGGCAAGGCTAATCAATTGTGCTGGAAATCAACAGAGTGGTTACTTTTGGGGGTAGGGTCTTCTGGGGTGCTTGGTAATATTCTACTTCTTGATCCAGATCGGGTAACATAGATGTTCACTTTATGAAAATTCATTAAGCCTAAACATTTGCAATTCGTGTACTTTATTGAAGTAAAACATATTTCAGAAAAGTTTATTTTAAAAGTTGCAATTTAGGGCGCCTGGGTGGCTCAGTTGGTTAAGCGACTGCTTTCGGCTCAGGTCATGATCCTGGAGTCCTGGGATCGAGTCCCGTATCGGGCTCCCTGCTCAGCAGGGGGTCTGCTTCTCCCTCTGCCTTCTTCCCTCTCGTGCTCTCTGTCTCTCATTCTCTCTCTCTCAAATAAATAA